GAAAGGGAAGGAAAGAAAGGGAAGGAAAGAAAGGGAAGGAAAGAAAGAATAAAATCAAATTATTGTCCTCCAAACAGGCCCTTATCAGCTTTCTGCCCATTTTTATGTCAGGAAACGGGTTCAACCACCACATCTGATCAAAATACTTCAAGAAAATGCCAATTTTTTTCTCCAACAGTTGTAACAGAGCTTGGTTCATTTATGGAAAGTCCTGTGGAGAGCAGTTATATCAATTAATTTCCCAATGACTATGAAGGGAACATGAGGAGCACATTTGGATGGACCCATCTACCTTGTAGATATTATTATAATCCAAAACCCCATTCCTTGTGCTGGTTCAGAGCTGAATCCATCTTAAATACATCTCTACCTCCACCATTCATCAACCAAATCTGACAAAGTTTATTTGAGTGAGGAAAGTCCCTAAAACTGAGATAAGCCAAGTCTACCTCTCATGTCCAGAGAAATCCTTTGAGGGGGGAGAAATTTGCTGCTGGTCCTGGAGAAAATGTGTGCAGGGGAGATAAGAGCTGGCGCTGAAGGGCCTAAAATCCATCCTCCAGAGCTTGGGGCTTTGCATGCAAAAAAGGGCTTACCTGCACTAAAGGGCCCTGGAAATGAGTAATAAAGCCAAAAATGGTTGAATAAACCATGTTGTAATGGTTGAAAATGAACAGGTTGCTTCATTTCCTTGTGTTCATTTCCTCAGCAAATCTGCAGAAAGGGGGATTAAAGCAGCAAGGGGATGAGTAAAAGTGAGGAAAAGGTAAGAAAATCACCGTTAAATGAAGATAAAAGCAGGAGACATCCTCTTTCTCACCCAGATTTCCCCAGATGGATTGTTATGAGCAAATATCACCATGACCCTCCACTGCAAAACACCATGAAATCTGAAACAGAGACCCTGAGGTCAAAGCAAGGGCAAATCCACTTTCCTTCTTGTGTTGGTGTGATGGAGAGAAAGCTCAAAATCCCCTTTTCCCCGAAAAAAGACAGCAAGTTGATGTAACCACCTCTCAGCACTGTGAGTTCCCCCCTCTCTCAAACCTTTTTGGTGTTTTCCTTGGTGTCACTGGTGCTGTTTTCGGGTTGCTTTTCCTCCACTGGCTGCTTCTCCACTGGGTTTGTTTCCACTTGGGATTTTTTTCTCCCCTCTCTGGCACAGGCTCAGTCAAAGCTCGGTCCTGTCTCTGCCTCTGCCAGTTTTTATCGGCCAAGAAGGGAGGAGCCCTCTAATCTCTCACCTGCATATGGGGCCGTGACGTGCTTTGACACTTCCTGCACCCTCTGATTGCACCTTCTCCCCCCTTTTTAGGGCCATTTACTTTCAGGCATTGAAGAGGGAAGGGAGGAAAATTAAGACAGAGCAAAAAAAATGCATTATTGCACGTCACCACTAGGAAGAAATTGGTTAAATTTTGCCCCCTAGCGGCCCAAATCTGGCTGTGGCCCCTTCTGCACAATGGAGCTGAACCAGGCAAAGCAGGGACAAGGTTGAGAGCAGATTCCAGGTGAGGGATGAGACAGCAATGCCTAGAAATGAGACAACCTGGCAGAGATAAAACATGTTTAAAGAGAACTATGGGTGAGGAAATTTGCTTTTCCTACTGGGGCAGGTTGTGCTGGGAGCTGAGTGCAGGAACACCCAAGGGCAGTCGGATGGCAGGCAGCTTCACCCTGTGCCACTGCCAACCACCAGCATTGCTTTCTCCTCACGGGAGGGCAGCATGGCCACAGCAGTGGCACAAAACCAGCATGCTGAGACCAGCCACGACTTCCTCTCTCAGTGTTGAAGAGGCAAAAACCCCTCGGGGTTGCATGGGTGCTGGAGGCAATGGGTGAACCGCCACAGACTGTGGTCATGAAGATTTTTAAGGGGACCTGTAGACACCTGCGAGGTGAGATCAGCGTCCTAAGACCCATCAGACTTTGCTCCCTCCCTTCCCGCCCTCCCTTGCCCCCCCCAAAAAATGGTGCAAAATGAAAATGGTTTAATTTCTTGGTGGGAAAGCAAAGCTCCAGTGCCTGGTTGTGGTTGTAGGAGAAACATAAAGTGAGTTGATCCCTGCTTTCCAGAGAAGGCAGCAAGGGGCCATTTTTTGAAGATTATTTTCTTTCCTCCCCCAAATAAATTAAGATTTTAAAGGCAGAATTATACAAATTATCTGGGTTGATCACTTACATTTTTTTAAAATAATTTTTTATTTTTATTTTTTTGTGTATTCAGGAGAAAATCCAGTCTTACCTGCTATCCCTAAGGAAGGTGTTGGCAGAGTTTCCAGACTGGAGAGTGAAGGCAGTTTCTAGACTGGAGAGTGAGCAAAGAGAAGCAGCATCAGGACTACCTGGTACAGGGGGCCCCTTGGTGTTTTGACAGTCCAAATGGGTATTTATTTTTCCCCAAAACCTTCTGGAAGAAACATGCAGGATCATCCATGAGGTATCCTTGTGCCCTGCAAAGCCTCAAACCTGGCTGGAGCGGTTGGTGCAGCTCCTGGGCAGGTTTGACCACCTCCATGTGCAGGTGCTTATTATCAACACTTTTAATCACTGCATTTTCATGGTATTGCTCATTTTCATCTCAGACTGCTTCCTAAAGGGACATTTGTTAACATAGAATTAACCCTCCTCCATGCTTTCCAGGGCCTGACGTGGTTTTGGGCAGAATATAAACAGGAATGGCAACAGGGAAGGGGAAAGAAGGAAAAGCATGGGGTGAAGTGCTTAATTATGCTGCAGTCACTAATTAGCCACATCCTCAGCTCTGCCCCAGTGTCACAGACCCCCTGGCTCCAGCCAAAGTGCTTTTGTCCTTTAGCTTGAAAGGGAAAGTTCCAGTCTGGGGTTACAAAGGGGTTTTCTGTCTCGTCCAGGAGACGAGCAAGGCTGAGTGGCTCCACATTGAGGCCAAGTCCGAGTGGCTGTGCCAGCTGCTGGTGGAGTAGGAGGTCCTGGGGCAGCTGGTGGAGCTGAACGACTCCTTCCCAGCTGCCCAGGCCAAAAAATCATCGCAGGTGGCTGAGGGGATCACACAGCTCCATGGGCTCACGGTGCAGCTGGAAGTCAAGCGTTTGCCCCAGGTGAGAACCCTCCTTACCCAAAAGCCCTTCCAAAGTGCTGCCTATGAGATCCTGAACCATCCTCCCCCTTTTTTCTACCTTTTTATTTTTAGGATGTTGGGAGCATAGTAAGCAGGTATGTGGAAACTGGTCACTTTCCCCCCCCTTGTCACCCCACCTGTGGAGAGGCGTTCAACTATCCCTCATGCAACATCCATCTCTGTCATTTATCTTCCCAGCTGTAGTGATATGAGGCTTCACTTCCCCTCTGGGCTCCCCATGAAGCTTGAGAAGAGCCTGAGCTCCTGCTGCCGCCAGCGGAATGCACTGCGAGAGGACCTGGAGGAGTTCAGAGGTATTTGGGGAGAGTTCTGGTATTTTAGGACAATTTGGAGGCATTTTGGGATAATTCAGTTATTTTTGTCATAACTCAGAGATACCAGGGGGGAACTCAGAATTAATTTGGAAGGAATTTAGTGGTAGTTTGGGATAATACAGTTATCTGGGGAGAAGCCAGAAGGAAGAGGAGGTTGTCCAAGGGAAGGCAGCAGCAGGCTCAGCACCCACTCACCACTCATGTCCTTCCCTCCTCCCAGGCATGGGTGCCTGCATGAGTCTCCCTGCAGTGAAGGCAACCCTCGAGCCTGGCATGGCTCCTCTCCCACAGCTCTTGGCAGACAGAAAAAGCATGTGGTGGGATGAGGAGGAGAAGCAGGATGAGGCTGGAGAGGCCCAGTGAGTCCAGGAGCCAGCTGGCAGCTGACAGGGAGTCTCCACCTGGAGATGCAGGACACAGACACAGTAGCTGGACTCTGCAAGATGCTGCCACAGCCCAGAGCCCGGGGTGCTTCCCGTGTTCCCCAGGACACAAATGGCTTTCTGTTGAGCTTCCCTCCCAGCTCAGATCTTGTCACAGGACAAGATCTGTTCTGCCCCAAATTTACTGCCAGCAGTTACTCTGCTGCTTTAACTAGTGAGTGGGTCTTGCACTGCTGCTCAACATGAACGTCATGAAGTAAAAAAATAGGAAAAAAACCTCCAGAATTTTTTTGCGTGTGCATAGGATAGATATTACGGCATTTATTGCTTCTGCAGGCTAGGGAGAGAGCAGCAGGCTAGCGAGAGGCAGCGGGATACATAGGTCCGGGTCCTTGGGTGCCGAGTGGCGGACCTATCCCGGTGCTTAAGTTCTTGGGGGACTTGACTGCGAACACCATGTCTCGCTCCTCCCGTCGCTGGAAGCCGCTTTCCCGGCTCTGGCTGTCGCCGCTCTGGTCCGGCGCGGTGCCGCGGGGAGTCACCGCTTGTCGCGCAGGGGGTGTTGTGGGACGGGGAGGATCGATCCCGGCCGCGCCTCGCCCGCCCCACGGTGCGGCTTTTAGATGCGGAGCAATGGCCACCCCCCGCTGCGGCTCTTTAATTCTGTTTATTTTATTCTGTTCTGTACATTCTATTCACACTTCGCCCTCCTGTCTGTGCAGCCCTTCCGGCGACACCTGCCAGCGGCCGTCCCGCGATGCAGGTCTCTCAGTGACACGAGGCGACAAGTCACCCCCTGGCGCGGCTTTTAGAGACTCGCGGGAGCACCCACACCTCAGCGCAGCCCCGCCACCACCGGCTGCGAACCTCCTCCAGGGCGGCTTTCCTGCGGCACCGGTGGGCTGGGCTTCCATCCACCAAGAAAAAAACAAACCCAGCTACAACGCTACAAATTGCCCCAGGAAGTGAAGCGGTTGGAGTGCACGTGGGCACCGCGGCGCTGCGGCTCCAAGAGCTGTTTTATTAGCCCCTTGCCCGCACCCCCCCCCTCCCCCAAGAAACCTTAAGTAAGGTAGAAACAGCGGTTTGCTTTTATGTGCATGCATAGAGATAGCAAAAATGTACAAAATCAACAATTTTTGGGGAAAATATTTATATCTAGCACAGCCCTGGCTTCTCCTCCTGCTGCAGAAGCCTTGTGTAGGCTGAGATTCCTCTTAATAAAAGGACAGTAAGTGCCTGAAATACTTAAGAATTAATTAAGCATGAAGTGTGTCTGCCGTTAACTAATTTTTCAGGCGTTTCCTAGAAAAAAAACATACTTAAAAAAAAAAAAAAGAGAAAAAGGATTTTAGGGGGTCTTTCCCTTCCTTTCTGCCCTGAGATATCAAATTTTGGATTTATTTGGTCTCAGTTCCTCACGTTTTGTCCTATCCCGTTCTGTCGTGCTCTGCCCCATTGCACCTCAAAGTGTGTTTTATCAGCCTTATTCATAACTATTATAATTCCTGATTAGTATTTTTGAAATTATTTTTACGTGGGTTTTGTTATTTTTATAATTCTATCCTAAAATCTGCAATTACAGTTAAACATATTATATACAATTATATTTTTATATATTATATAAAATATATTGAAACATAGCATTTTTATGATAGTTAAAATATATAAAAATTATATTTATACATCATATGCTAGATTATATATATTTAACATACTTTTATTATTCTATAGAAAGGAAACTTTCAGCTCCAAGACCCTCCTTTGGTTCAGTTTCCGATTAATTTTCTTGCAAAACTTCATTAACATTACTCCCTCTTGGAATTTCTGCTCTAACACCACCTCCCCCCACAGATCCTGAATATAGTAGTTCTTTTCTTTCTCCCCCTTTGTTTCTTATTTTTGCCATCCAATTTGGGTGCTGACGGACAACGCTGGGTTTTTATTTCACC